ACGAGTTCAAGTTGATTCATAAAAGACTATGCAATCATTTATTTACACAAATTGAACAGATCATAAATACACTTCATTGTGGGTATTCCTATAAAAAGTGTCAAAGTTAAATGAGATAAAATCCGCGTCCGAATTTCAATTCACATCAACTTTGATTACTTATATAGAACAGTAAAACGTCAGTTCTGATGTTAACAACCAAATAATTTTGCTGGCACTTTCAGCTTAAGTTTTGGCAAATAAAGCCAAGAAAAGGAGGAAAGTAAGGTTAGTAGGTTTCCACTACTTTTACTTTATCAAAGTGTGGGTCAACTGGAAACTGCACGTCTTTTCTGCGCTCATGGGTCCACATGACACGTCACCTCGAACACGTCAGCTTTACCTGGTGATGGCTTCTTAAGACACCCTCGGGGTAGGAGCTGTCTCACCTCCGATCAGTCAGGGAACTGATTTCGGCTCGCTTACTGGTCATTGGCGAGTAGGTGTTTTTCAGGTAACTTTTTGTCCATTTCAGTCCAAGCCAGAAAAATTCAAGCTGTCATCCGGTCCCTTCTTTTCAAAATAAAATCTCCCCACGGGAGGTAAAAACACACTTTAGAGGCCTGAAGCCTCGGAGTGGGACCGCCAGCGGCGTGTGGGGTCCCGGATGTTAAGTCTTCCCTAGTTGGCTCATGGGCTCAGACTTAAAAAGCCAAACTGAGTCCCTCCGGAGAGAGAACTCAGCTTTGTCTTCCTCGGTTGGAGTCAGGAAGAAGAGTGTGTCGCTCAAAGCCATCCGTGTTAGTAAAAGAAACGGACGATCTTTGGTTCCGCCCTCAGGCTTAGAGATGAGTCAGAGAAAGAACGATAAAAGATTTGCCAGGGCGCCAGCCCAAGGTTAAAATTCTATGGCTGTTCACAACAGGATGATAACCTTTTTTCAGCTTTCTTCTGATAGACTCTAAGAGAAATCACCGCAAAACATTTATGATGATTAATTAACATTTCTGTTTATAATCAGTTCTGAACCTTCTGTTAGTCCGGATAAATTAAAGATTTTCTCAGGAAAAATCCACAATTATATTACTGTGTTCACAGTAAAATAAAAATAGTGATTTACATAAAAACACAATGAAAACGAAATGAAACTCTCTGTGATTTTTTATACCATTATTAATCTTTAAGGCACGATAAAAGAAAAGAAGTGGTTCCACTTTTCTTGTGACAGTCATTATCATGATTTAACAAATGCAATAACATTCTTAGTTAAACAACAAATAAATCATGAACAGAAGAGATTGTTCTGTCCATTATCTGATTAAGAGAACTGAGG